CTCGTGTCGGAGGGTGGCGGGCTTTGAATGCTAACATTGGCTTTGTTATCGTCCTGATGTCCTCTGGCGTTGCGGACACGGGCGTGAAGGAACACTTTCTTGTGGCGTTTCTCTTACCATCTCTTTTCTAATTGAGCCGGAGGAGGAGGAGGAGGAGGAGGACGACGACGAGGAGGAGGAGGAAGGAGGAGGAAGAGGAGGAGGAGGAGGAGGAGGAGGAGGAGGAGGAAGGAGGAGGGGGATGAGGAGCGATGAGGAGCGCCTTTGTCGTCGTCGTCGTCGTCGCCGCCGCCGCCGCCCGCCGCCGCCGCCCGCCGGCGTCGTCGTCGTCGTCGTGGAGGGTCGAGGCTCGAGGCTGGAGGCCGAACGCGGGGGAGGAGGACCACCCCGACCCGCGGTTCCCAAGTCGCGTCTGGCTGGAGTATTGGAGGCGTCCTGGAGGCCTCCTGAGGGTTTTTTGGAGGCCTCCTGAGGGCCTTTTGGAGGCCTCTTGAGGCCTCTCGAGGGCCTCTTGGGGGCCTCTTGGGGCCTTTGAGGGCGTCTTGGGGCCTCCCGGCGGTCGAGGGCACCCCAGAGGGGCGCTAAGGACAGCCGAAATTATTGAGGCCTGCTCGAAGACTCGCCCGGGAGGCGCAACGACGGCACAAGGTGGCCCCGAAGTCTCCCAAGAAATGCACAGGCTGTCGGAGATGATGCAAGATTGGCCAAGAGCTGAAAACTTTCCAAAAGCAATCCCTGCCCTTTGTGCACTAGCGACTTTAGAATATGCAGCGCCGCGTGCATTCCCCATCCGCTCGGCATTCCCCGCCTCCCTCTGCCCTCGACCATGCTAACGGCCTCCGTGGGCAAGCTTGCATGCCACCGCCCTGTCCGTGTCGGCACACCCCTCATGCGCTTCGTGCCCCACAGGGAGCTCCACGCACGGCCCCCGCAGGCGAGTTTGAAAGGCCGCCGCCCTGCCTGCTTCGGCACCCCTTACGCGCTACGTATCCCACGAAGAGCCCCACCTGCGGCTCCAGTGGGCAGGCTTTGTGCGCTGCCACCCCGCCCATATCAGCACACAGCTCTCGCGTTTCGTTCCCCATAGGGAGCTCCGCCAACGGCTCAGGTTTGCATGCCACCACCCCGTCCTGGGCCGCTCAGGGGCCCTATTGGGCTGCATTGACGCCTTTTTGGAGGATGATTTGTATTGTTTGGGGCCGTCTTGAGGTCGTCTTGGAGGCCTCTGGGGGTGTCTGGAAGGAAACTAGAACGGGTGAAAAAACCCAAAGAACATGCGGGACCTGCTGGGGGTCCTCTTCCCTGCTGGGGGCCCTTTTGTGGCCGTCTTGGGGTTCTCTTGGGGCGTCTTGAGGCTATCTTGTGTCGTCTTGGAGGTATCTTAAGCCATATTGGCGGCCTTGGTTCCCTGCCTCGGCCGCCATGGAAGCTCGGGACCGCGAATCCATTGTTTTGTACAATGGGTCGTGGTCTCGGGAGCGCGGATCTAGGGCTTGTTGAGCGATCGTGGCCTTGGGAGCGCGGGCCCACAGTTTCTTACAGGGGATCGTGGCCTGGGGAGCGCGTGCCCATTTTTTGATGCAATGGGTTGTGGCCTCGGGAGCGCTTGTTTCCGAAAGAGGTGGGAATGCACGCGCCTGAGCGTGGCGAGAGGGGCTGGGGTTCTGCGAATGCTACAGAAACCCCTAACGCGTCACAGCGTGCCTGGGGTCTCCAGGCGTATCGAGGAAACGTAAGACTCGAGTGCGCCAGAACTCGGGTTTGCCGATGCTTTTTGACGAGCGCGTCCTGGCTTCTGACGACTTCGTGGGATGTCTGCGGCGGGAGCTCGCGTCAAATTTCAGACTGGGTCTCGTCATTTTCATGATGGCCCCGTCAGGCCAACCCGAGCCCCCCGAACCCGAGTCTTAAGTCTCCCCGAGCGCAGGAGGAAAAAACCGACAGGGGGGGGGATCCGGGCCCACGAGCTGGACGAGAGAGCTTCGACGCTGGGGCGGGCGCGGGAGCGCTGGGGGGCAGCGGCGGCCGCAGGAGCGGCCGGGTAAGCAGGCAGGGAGAGGCGGCAGTGCAGGAGGGCCAGGAGGATGGGGATGAGGAGTGCCAGCACAAGCAGGCGGAGGAAAAGCAGATGCCCAGGAGGAAGCACGGCTCGATCTAAACAGTGTTTTGGCGATTTCGTGGACCGTTTTCGTTTTGATTTCGTTTGGCAGCAAAGGCAGAACGAAGACGAAACGACGGAACGCGACACCAATACGAAACCGAACAACGCTTTTTTGCCCGAGCCCTGGGGGGAATAGGAGCAGGAGGACGGCCTGTCGCTGGCGATGGCCCATCACGTGCCCATTTAGATGCGAACGCCTTAGCAGAGTTTGGAAAGTATGCATCGCCTGGCAAGCAGATCCCGCGGAGCTCCGTAGCCATCTTGGCCCCGGTTTGTCGTCAGAAATGTGTCCTTTGACAATTGATGTTGCGAGTTGATTCGTCATCGCGCCCTTGACCGATGACTCAAACTGTTCTGGAGGAGGCTTTCAACGCGGCTCAGGATGCTTTCCTCAAGGACGTGCAATCGGGGCAGAACGGATGCCCCAAGAGAGTGCTCAAGCTCTTCCGGAACGTACAGAAGATGTTGCCCCGGCGAGGTCATCCATGGTTGGGCCATTTGCATTACTACTACGCGGTGTGTTATGGTTACGGCAGGGACTGCAATAAGAGTCATGTACATTACGAGCGGGCTCTCAAGCTTTCTGAGCCAGGCTCTGAAATCATAGCGGCTTCGCACTACAATTTGGCGAGGTCTGGGGCGAAGAAGTAAATTTGTCAGGGAGCCATTAGATGTCGGGTTCTGGGGCCCACGATGGTCCAGAACCCCCAATTGATGCTTTCAGTTGATACGAACTCCGCTCGGCACATCCCATCCAAGCAGCCTGGGTGGTGGCCCAGGTCCGTGGGGGGGGGGGGCAAAGTTATACCCATTAAGTGTCATTTTAAGCGTTTCGAGTATCCCTGTCAGCCCATCCTGCAGGTATGCCCAGGAGATTTCTCGGGACGATGGAAGCAAATGAACATAGTGAAACAACAAGGCCAAACATGGTGAGCTCTGACATCTCAGGGAGACTCTTAGAGGCGTCTTGGAGCTCTCTTGGGCTGTTTGGGGAGCCTTTGAAGCCCTGTCGGGGCTGGGTCTCTCCCGGTGGCTTTGGGGAAGCCATCTTGGAGGAATCCTTCGGAGGACATCTATCCCCTCGCCCTCTCGGAGCCTGACAAGTCATTTCTTTGGGCTCTTCTTAACGACCTTTGGATTCTTCTTGGAGCCCTTGTGTGCCACTCTCTTTGTTTTCTCAGTTGATTTTGGAGGCCTCGGCAGTTGGAAGCGAAAAGACAATACTTGACAGTGTACCTTCTTGCGACCAACACTGAGGAGCTGCTGGGAGTCTTTTCGGAATCTGTCGTAGATGTTTGTAAGGCGACTCGTTTTTAGACTTGTCATGTACGATCTTTGTGTGTATATATATATATATATGATGTGTGTTTGTTGCATGCGTAGTGTGTGTTGCTTGGTCTTCATCATGGTGTGCTTTGTGCAGTCTGTATGAGAGAGCGCGCTGGTGGCTCACCTCTGACTAAATGGCGGGCCCCAGCTTCAAGCAAACCCCCGCCCTTGGAAAGGGGGGGGGGGCTTTCGAAGCATCACCCCCCTGCCCCCCTTTTGTAAGGATTTTTGGGCTGGGGAGGCCTGGCTACAGGAGGGGGTTGGGGCTTGGAAGCTACCCCCCCCTCCCACCCTTTTCTGGGCCCGGGTCGGCCCGGGCTCCCTTTTCAAAGGGGGGGGCTTCCGAAGCTACCCCCCCCCTTCCTTTTGATTTGATTTTGTAGCTGGGGGTCCTTTTCGGGGTCCGGGGTAAGCCCGGGCTCCCATTTCCAAAGGGGGGGGAGGGCTTCCGAAGCTACCCCTCCTCCCCTCCTTTTGTTGGCTTTTCCAGCTGGAGGGCCCTGGCTGAGTTTCCGGCGCCCCGTTGAGTTTCCGGCGCCTCGTTGGTTTTCGGCGTATTTATGGTTTTCGGCTTCTCTATGGTTTTCGGCGCTCTTTTGGTTTTCGGCTCCTCTTGGGCCTTTGGCGCCCCTTTGGTTTTCGGCGCTTCTTCGGTTTCGGCACCGTTTTGGTTTTCGGCGCTTTGTGGTTTTCGGCGCTCCTTTGGTTTTCGACGCCCCTGTTGGTTATCTGCGCGCCCTTTTTGGTTTTCGGCGCATCGTTGGTCTTCGGCGCCCTCTTGGGTTTCGGCGCTCCTTGGGCCCTTGGCGCCCTCTTGGTCTTCGGCGCTCTTTTGATTTTCGGCGCCCCTTTAGTTTTCAGCGCTCTGTGAGTGCCCGGCGCTCTTTTGTTTTCGGCGTCCCTCTGGTTTTTGGCGCCCTTGGGCTTTCGGCGCGCCTTTGGTTTTTTGCGCCCTTCGGTTCTCGACGCCCTTTGGGTTATCGGCGCGGCTCTGGTTTTTCGGCGCCTCTGGTTTTCGGTGCATCGTTGTTTTTCGGCGCCCCTTCGGTTTCCGGCGCCTCTTTGGTTTTCTTCGCTCCTGCGGTTTTTGGCGCCCCTTAGGTTTTCGGCGCCCTTTTCGTATTCAATGCCCTGTCCGTCTTTTGAGCGTATGCTGTTTTCGGCGCCCCTTTCGTTTTCGGCGTCCTGTTGGTTAGTTAGTTATCAGCGCCCCTGTGGTTTTTCGGCGCCCGTTTGGTTTTCGACGCATCGCTGGTTTTCGGCGCTCTTTTGGTTTTCGGCGCTCTTTTAGTTTTCGGCGCTCTGTTTGGTTTTCGGCGCCCCTTTGTGTTTTCGGCGCTCCTTTCGGTTTTCGGTGACTCTTTGGCTTTCGGCGCCCTCTTGGTTTTCGGCTCCCTTTTAGCTTTCGGTGTCCTTTGGGTTTTCGGCGCTCTTTGGTTTCGAGTGCTCTTTGGTTTTCGACGCCCTTTTTTGTGTTCGGCGCTGGTCTGGTTGTCGTCCTGCTTTTGGTTTTCTGCGCCCCCTTTGGGTTCGGCGCCCTTTTGGTTTTCGGCACCCTTTCGGTTTTCGGCGCTCCTTTGGTTCTCGGCGCTCTCGTGGTTTCTGGCGCCTCTTGGTTTTCGCCGCTTCTTAGGTTTTCGGCATCGTTTTGGTTGTCGGTGGCCTTTTAGTGTTTGGGTACCCTTTGGTTGTCTGCGCCCTATTGGTTTTCGGCGCCCTTTTGGTTTCTGGCGTCCTTTTCAAGTTCGGCATTTTTTTTGATATCTGTGCTCTTTGGTTTTCGGCGCCTTCTTTGCTTTCGGCGCAGCTCTGGTTTTCGGCGCTCTTTTGGTTTTCGGCGCCTCTTTGGTTTTTGGCGCCCCGCTGGTTTAGTTTTTTTTTGTTTTTTTTTTTTTGTTTTCGGCGTTCGTTAGGTTTTCGGCGCCTTTCGGTTTTCGGCGCCCTCTTGGTTTTCGGCGCTCTTTTGGTTTTCGACTCTCATTTGGTTTCGGCTCTCTTTTGGTTGTCGGCGCCCTTATGTTTTCGGCGCCCCTTTGGTTTTCGGCGCCCCTCTGGTTTTCACTGCTTGGCGCACCTTCGGTTTTCGGCGCCCTTTCGGTTTTCGGCCTCCCTTCGGTTTTCGGCGCGCCTCTGGTTTTCGCATCTAGGCGCCCTTTTGGGCTTCGGCGCCGAAGGGGGTGGCTTCCAAGCCCCCCCCCCACTTTTAGCCTGAAAGGAGGGGAGGGGGGGTGGACTTCCAGATAGGGAGGTTCAAAGGGGGGGGTAGCTAGGCCCTCCCCCCTTTGGAAAGGGAAGGTGGGGGGGGTAGCTTCCGGAGCGCGAAAGAGGGGAAGGGGGGGGGGCAGCGTCCGAGGGGCGGAACGAAAAGGAGGGGGGGGGGCTTCAGCAGGGGAAGTGCAAGGGGGTGGGCTAGCTAAGCCCCCCCCGTTGCACAGGAATGGGGGGGGGGTAGCTTCCAGAGCGTGGAAGGGAGGGAAGGGGTAGCTTCAGAGGGGCGCAAAAGAAGGTGGGGAGCTTCTGTCAGGGTGAGGTCCAAAGGGGGGGTTGCTAAGGAGGGACCCCCCTGTGGGAGTGTACCACGGGCGCGCTCTCTCTTATGTATGCAGTACTGTCGTATTTGACTGATGATACATACAAAGATACACACACATATATATATGTATATATATATATATATGGGTGGCCCTCCCCCCCTGTTGGGCTCATGTGGCGTGGACGCTTACATATTCCAGTCTCTCGCACGCAATTGGATATGGACATGTTGTAATGTGTGCTGCGTGAAAAAATCGTAACATGACATTTTCGTTTTGCGCTCTCCTTGAAACGGAACCCGCCGCCCTCAAGCAAACTTGCGTTTCTGGTATTGTTTGCTGAGGAGGCACGTAGCGAACGACTCAAAAGCTACCGAATTGAATCCTGTCGCGCTTGATTTGAAGCGGTCATAACACAAAATGTTTGGTTTAGCTGTGTTGGATGTCTGATCGTTGAAACTCACGAACACATCGGGCTCTGGTATACACAAAGAAAGAAAAAGTGTGATGTTTTGTTGTCGCTTCCGCGCGAAGATCTGGCCGCCCTCGACACGTCATCCCGCGCTGCTTACGCTCAACTCAATGAAACGCACCCCTGTGACAACGCCGTGGCGCAGAGTTTCCCCTAATACGTAATATGTCACATAATCTTATAGAGGATTTTTTGGTTGTCGCTTCCGCGCGAGGATCTGGCCGCCCTCGACGCGTCATCCCGCGCTGCATACGCTCAACCCAATGAAACGCACCCCTGTGGCAACGCCGTGGCGCAGAGTTCCCCCTTCATACGTAATATGTCACATAATCTTATAGAGGATTTTTTGGTTGTCGCTTCCGCGCGAAGATCTGGCCGCCCTCGACACGTCATCCCGCGCTGCCTACGCTCAACCCAATGAAACGCACCCCTGTGACAACGCCGTGTCGCAGAGTTTCCCCTAATACGTAATATGTCACATAAGCTTATCGAGGATTTTTTTTTTGCTGTCTCTGTGCGAAGATCTGGCCGCTCTCGACACATCATCTCGCGCTGCCTGCGCTCACCCAATGAAGCGCATCCTTGTGACAACGCCGTGGCGCCGAGTTCCCCCTTATTCGTAATATGTCACATAATATCATAGAGAATTTTTTGCTGTCGCTTCTGCGTGAAGATCTGGCCGCCCTCGAAACGTCATCCCGCGCTGCCTACGCTCAACCCAATGAAACGCACACCTGTGACAACGCCGTGGCGCAGAGTTTCCCCTAATACGTAATATGTCACATAATATTATAGACGATTTTTTGTTGTCGCTTCCGCGCGAAGATCTGGCGGTTTTCGACAGCAAAGGAGATCGAGGCCGCGGGGGAGGGGGAGGAGGAGGAGGAGGATTGCACAATTTTCTATCACGCATGTTCCACCAACACACAACAAATAAAAGCGACGCTACATAAACTACATAATCTTCTGCTTCTTTGTCAATCGCCGCCGCACAGCTTTGGATTTGGCAGCGCGATAACACAAACTTGGTTGCTTTTTCATGTTCAAAAGGAAGATGAAATTCACTACTTTGCACGTCCAAACCTCATACTCCACTGGCTCAATGTGGGGCAATTCTTCTTTGATCATTTTGTATAACCCACCATAACTGAAACCAGCATATTTGCACATCTTTCCCATTTCCCTGACGTTTGGACCAGCCAAGTCGTATAGCATATCATCCGGCACAGAAAAATCCACATCGTACGCGATAAAAAGCCATAACGAAATATGCACGGCCCTGAACGCACCGATGCCAGCA